AGATCTTCACCCCAGCCCACGAGGAGAATGTGCGCTTCATCTACGAGGGTGAGCCGTGGTGGGGGGCCCGGGGCTGCAGCCGGGCCCTGCGCCCAGGCAGTGCCTGAGGCGAGCGGTCCCCTCACCTGTGTCCCCGCAGCCTGGCAGTGTGTGGAGCGTGACCTGCGCAGCCAGATGGGCTCTGAGCGCGGCCTGGTAGAAGAGTACGTGGAGAAGATGCCGAATCCTAGCCTCAAAGGTGAGGGGGGCAAGGGGCACTCTCCCCTGGCTCTGGCCAGAGGGGATGGCCGGCCCCAGGGAGCCTGCGTGGGTGGGGAGGGGGCTGCGATGTGGCCTCTGCTGCCAAAGTCTCTCTTGTCTTCCCTGCAGCGTTTAAACCTGTCGACCTGGGTGATCTGAAGAGGAGGAACACACAGGATGCAAAGAAGTCCTAAGGCAGGTCCTTCCTGTGGATCAGCTGGTCTCTTAAGGTCCTCAAGCAGATTTAATTTGAGATTTTGTGTTGGTTTCTTCCTCTCATCTGTACTCCCAAAAGCCCGCGGGAAAGCTAATCAGCTTTGGGTCTGGCTCTGAAGCTACCTGAAATCAAAGATGCTCAGGGGCTCACTGAGGATGCCCAGAGCCTGTTGCAAAGGATTCCAGTCCCCCACTCATAGCTTTCTCTGGCCTCAGGCTGTCCTTACACACTTCATGCTGCGCTCATAGATCTCCCATTCTCCTTCCATCTCTGCCCCTGGTGTATTGAGTACATGGGCTCCCTGGGCTCTGGTGCGCAGCAGGGCAGAGCAGAACAGCTGTGCTGTCAGTAGAGGCAGCACTAGTTCTACGCTCCCTTCTGTGCACCAAGGAACCACAGCTGCTGGGGCGGGCTGGGGGAGAAGGAAGGAGAGTTGCTTCTGTCCTTGTTCCTTGGGACATTGAGGTAGCCCCAGTTCAACACCCTTCGTGCAGCTGACTGCTGGGCAGGTCATACCGGCTGTTCCTTGCTCCCTGGTGGGAGGGCTTAATTTGTACCTGGGCTGCTATTGCTTTGGACTTACCATGCTGCCTGAGCTCATGGGTCCATATCCAAGGCTGGATTTTCCTTGTGCTTAGATTGGGCCGGGTCCCTGTGGTGCTAGAGATGGAGCTGCTCCTCTCTCCCTGCAGATGGAGAGAGATGGGGTGTCAGCACTGGCCCCAGCCCCAAGTGCCTGAGGTGCTCAGAGCGGGGTGCTGGGCCACATTCATCCCTCCTGCCTCACTGCTCTGGCAGCTCCACAGGAGGTAGCAGCAGTGGGGTGCGGCTGGTGCTGACTGTGCAGAAAGAAGGTTGTTGGCATCCTTGCCGGAGCAGTGCTGTGCTGTTCTATACTAACCGTCTTCCAGCTATGCACCCTTGGAAGAGATCTGGCCTCTACAGCTGACATTTCTATGCCACTGTGTGGGGGCTGTCATAGCCAGTGTAACTCGCCCTAGGGGGTGCTTTCTTGGGACCCCCACTCCTGGAAAGGGTCAGGTGGTTTCTGCATCATTGCCTCTGATTGAGGGAGAGTGACTGTGCCATCCTCACCCGTCAGCAGAGCAGCCGTGCCGGCCCCAGGGCTGCTTGGTGCCCACAGAAGACTGGGGAGTGGTGGGAGCAGCAAAAAAGAGCTGGCGGGAAGGGGGCTGCCGGGGGCTCTGCCCAGCACCAGTGGGCTTCAGGAGGGGTGTGGGGGGAGTTCTGGCCGCTATTACCTTTCCTTTGTTGAGTCCGTTGAGCTATACTGTTCCCTTTTTTTTTTTCTGTTGTCTGTCACTTGAGGAGTGTTGTAAATAAAAGCTGGTGCCCTTTTGGCTCTGCCTCCATGTGACGCTGCCCACCACAGCCCCTGCTCCACGGCTGCCTCAGCGGAGTGCAGGGCTGATCATCTGCTGTTTGCTGCAGGGGCCGCGTCTGGCGGTGGAGCAGCGTGCGGGACGCTGCCTGGCCGCTCCCAGCGGTGCTGGTGGGCTATGTCCGGCATGGTGTTGTGAGGGCCCAGGAGAGGGCTGTCTCAGCCACAGCATCCCAGCAGGCTGTTCCCGGCCTGATCCCACCTTGGCTTCTCTGCTGCTTGTGCCCACAAGCTGCGTGTGCCCGCTGCCCTGTCGGTGCTGGCCCAGGTGTGCCTGCAGCCTTGCTGGGGCAGGGCCCTTGTTCTTCCCTTCCAAAACGTTCTTATTTTGTTACTGAAGCCCTGTGTTTTTCATTTTAGACTTCAGTGCTGGCAATTAAGGATAGGGCTTTCTGTCCCTTTTCAGGCCTGAGCAAGTCCTAAGGAGAAGTAATGCAGAAAGCAGAAGCCACCTCTTTTTTTTTTTTTTTTTTTTCCCCCCTCTTCCAGAAGGGATCTTGCACTTGCCCTTACTCTAGGCTCTTAATTTCACTGGAAGCATGTGCAGCCTGGTGCTGTGTGCTGGTAGCGCAATGCCCTTGGGCTCTGGCAGCCCTCCTGTGAGACAGCATCCTAGGAGCTGTCGCTGGACCAAAGATTTAAATGTTGAGACTATTAATACACGCATATCCTTTTCCCTCCCCTGCTTTAATGGTATTTGAACTATACTTAGCATTGCTAGAATTTCTCCTCAAGTGCATCTTCTTACACTTAGCCACAACCCTGTTTACCTCCCATCACCAAAACATTCCTGGGGTGCGCGCATGCCGGGGCACGCTGCCCGGCTCTGGCACAGCGGAACAGCGCCTAAGCCCGTCTCGCGGCCGACTCTGCCGGGGCCCGCTCCCTCGCCCCTGTGCAGGCCTCCCCCTTCCCCACAGCCAGTGGGGAGTGGGTACCCTCAAGGGAGCAGGGGCAAGAGCATGACAGTGACCACTGTCGCAGCCCCTCTCCTTCAACTTTTCCTGCAGGACAGGCTCTGTGGTGTGCCCCGTATCCAGGGAGCGTGGAGCTGAGCTGCCCTGGCTGGAAGCCCGGAGCGCATCTGGAGCCGTGTGTCCCAGGTCCATGCATCCCGAGGGGATGGGAAGAGGCTCTGCTGTGGCCGGTGGTGCTGGGAGAAGGTGACCTGTCCCAGGTGGCTGGCCAGAGCCTGCTGATTGGCAGACCCCCTGCACCTTGGGGCTGCCAAGGAAGGGAGCGGTGCCTGGTGTGAGGGGAGCGGGACGGGGCTGCATGCGTGGGCAAGAGCTACCCAAACGTGCCAGGAGCTGGCCCCCATGCTGCCAGCACAGGCAAACCATGACAGCCCCTGAGCAGCTTGCCTGTGGGTCGTGCCCCTGTGCTCCCGCGCGGAGAGCTGCAGCCAGCTGGCTTGCTGCTCAGACGGGTAGGGCCAGCTCTGCCTGTGCCTGGCAGGGCTCATGGCCGGGAGCAGGACGGGATGGGCTCAGTGCGGTGCCCACTCCCCTTCCTCCCCGGGCCAGGCAGGCTGCTGGCCCGGGCTGCCACAGAGCCAGGCACTGTGCCCTGTGGCTGGTGCATGCCACAAACCACCCTTCCGAGGCCATCCTGGAGCTGCAACAGTGTCCCTGATCCTGAAGGCATGTACAAAGATCCTGTAGCCCAACCCCACTGGCCTCTGCCTTGTTTTTCTCTTGGCTTGGGTGCTGTAAAGCCGGAGGTGAAGCAGTCGCTCGAACTCTAATGAAATGTTGTACAAAAATCATTCTATAAACAGACGATTTTTATAAAGACTAATAACAAACCACGGGGGTGAGGGTGGTGAGACGGTGCAGGAGAAGTGTGGTAGTCAGGTGGCGGGGGGGTGCCCCGGCAAGGGAGCGAGGCCACCGGCCAGAGAAATCAGGCTGTTTATCTATAAAAATCGAACTCGGCAAGGGTTTATTTTCCTTGTGACTCGGATTCGGTGCTTATCATTAGATTAAACAGTGGGAGGAAGAGAGGTATGTGTTGTATCATTGAATTAAGCAGTGGGAAGAGGGGACGGCAGCAGGCAGAATCTACTTAGAAGACCAATCTGTGGTGCTCAATTCCCTTGATAAAGTGGGAATATTCCTGCGAGGCGCCGTGGCCCCGGGGTGCCTGGCTGCAGCCGCAGGGGTGTAACTGCCCGGGCAGGTTGGGTCAGGCAGCGAGTGGCTATTTATTACTCTGGCCCCATTCTGCGCCTTTGGTTTAGCCCCACAGACAGGGACTTGCACGGTGGCTGAGTCCAGCCTCTGCCCCCAGGCACCTTTAAGGAAGAAATGTTTCGCCATGAGGGTGGTGAAACCCTGGCCCAGGTTGCCCGGAGAGGTGATCAATGCCCCATCCTTGGAAACATCCCAGGTCAGGTTGGACAGGGCTCTGAGTGCCCTGCTCTGGTTGAGGATGTCCCTGCTCATGGCAGGGGGGCTGGACAAGACAATTGTTAAAGGTCCCTTCCAGCCCAAACTAGCCAGTGGTTCTATGATTCTCTGCTGGGGGTGTGTGGGCTGGTGGCAGTGCCTTCGTTCCACCAGTCACTGGGAACAGGTGGCTCCAGCCAGGCAGCCGAGGTCTGCGTGCTCACGTGTGCACGCGTGTGTGTGCACACGCATGTACATGTGTGTGTTGTGCAGGTTGTGCTACCTGAGATGTACCTTGGGGGTGTGGGGGTGCAAGCCGTGCTGCCAAGATGCGCACCCCGGAGTGCTGTCAGGGTGCACATGGGGGTGAACACCAGCTATGGGAGGTGCCAGGCCACAGCAGGGAGGGGTCCCCCAGCCCCAGCCTTCGTTGTGGCCCCAGCAGGGTCCCTCAGCAGGCGAGAGGCATGGGCAGCTTCCTCCAAGCCACTCACATCTTGCCTGCCCTGTCCTGCAGCCCGCTGCAGGGTGGGGTGCAGGGTGGGTGCCGTGTCCCGCAGGCACTCACTGTGAGTGGGAGGCTCTGCCTTCAGCCCCAGGTGCGGCCAGAGCCCTGGCAGCACAGGGGCAGTGAGCTGTCCCCTTCCAGACCCTCTCTGCAGTGATGGGAAAGGACGCTGACAGCGCTCCCGTGGGAGATAGCTCCTTGGGCCAGGGCTGGCCCCACTCCCAGGGGCTGCCGGACACCCTGCTCCCTCTCCCTGGGGTCCCAGGAGCTGCACCACCTCCTGAGGAGGGGCCGTGCCCAGCAGTCCCGGGGGTGCCAGGGAGCTGGGGAGCCACTGGCCACAGGTGGGGGCTGGC